CCGGTCTGGCATAAATCTGAAACTCTAAAATTTTAAATTGGGTATAATTTTATATTATTATAGTGGGTTTTAGGACAGGACAAATAATTTAATTAGTTTTGAATATTTTTAAATATTATGGTATTGCTGTTTTATTAATGTGCCTGTTCACCGCCCTGAGTCCCGCAAGGGAGAAGGGCGGTATATAAATCAAATAAATCAAATTAAATCAAATTTTTAAATCCATTTTTAGATCCACGGCATCTTTTTCCATGTATGTTTTTAAAAGTCTAAATCCACATTCAAATCAGCTCAGTCTCTGTTTATCTAATAAAATATATTCTTCTACATCCTCTTTTATATATATATATATACAAGACAATCTTGTAAGTAGTTTCTGAGTACTTTGTTCCCAAATAGCTTTAATTTCTTCTACAGTCAAGTAGTATTGCTTTGTTGTACTAATGCAGTGATGGCGAACCTTTTAGAGACTGAGTGCCCAAACTGCAACCCAAAACCCACTTATGCATCATCGAGTGCCGGGTGGGTGTGGCCCATTGGGAGAGCGTGGTCCATTGGCTGGGCATGGCTGCGGTGGTAATGGCAGACTGGGTGGGACTAAAAAGTTCAATCAATCAATTCCAACTTTGCAAGATTTTTTTTCCCCGTGAGAAGTTGAAATTGACTGATTGAACCTTTTTTTTTTGGCACACGGCGGTCGAGACCTAAAGCGAAAAGGTTTTATAAAACCCAGCTGAAGGCCTAGGACTGGGGCGACGGCACGCGTGCCCACAGAGAAGGCTCTGAGTGCGGCCTCTGGCACCCGTGCCATAGGTTCGCCACCACTGTACTAATGGGTCACTTTTCCTTTAATTATACTTAATTCTCTCTGGTTCCTTCTAGTCAATCTTCAGAGTCCCTTCTTAAGATCGGTTTATTTTCCAACCAGGAAAACTTTCCCGCAGGAGTATTTCTTATAGTTAATTTCAAAATCTTCATGTGTTGTGTTTTTTTTAAAAAAAAAATTAAATACATCTGAGGAAATATTCAAGTCCATCTATCCCTGACCTAGCCCCTTAACTTTCCACATTCTAGTCCTCCTCTTTTACAAAAATTAAAGCTTTTCTTTTTAACCCTTAGACTTAAAAAGAGTGAATCCAGTATCTGAAGGCTCCGAACTGTGGCCTAGGCCAGTAGCTCCCAACCTTTTGGATACCAAGGACCGCTTCTGTGGAGAGGTTTTTCCATGGACCGGAGGGGGCGTAATTTTGTGTGCTGCCTGCATTCCACGGATGGAGTGTTGCTTGTTTGTGTGGCATGCCGTGGCCTGGTGCCGGTCCGCGGACCAGGGGTTGGGGACCCCTGGCCTAGACAACATGTTCCCACTCCCTTGCTCCCAGAACCAGAGATAACTACTGTATTTTACAATCACTTTTTAGGGAGATTCTGCAAATTTGTGGATGATCCTTGTCCTCTCTTTGATTTGGAGGGTAGTTTTGAGGTGGTTCAGTCAGATTATTAAATGAAATGATTTAGTAATTTGGCATACCTGGTGGCCTACTGAATGCATATAAAATCAGTTGTATAGGTAATTTATAGACATAAGCTTGGAAACAAACATACACGTATGTCTGCCCCACGTTCACAAAAATATATATATAGCATCTGTTAAGAAAAATGATCAAGTGTAGCAGGCAATTAACAGGATGCAATATGAATCACAGTATAATTATTGTACTGCCTTGCGTGATAGGTTCCAATTTTTCTATTTACCTTTCTGTAGAATCATAAAGTGTCCCGTGTTTTGTATAACACATATTACAGCAGCCTACCATTGACTGATTTGTATAAGATTTGTCAATTTTTAAAAAAAATAATAATCTGTTTAACTCAGGCATCATCTGACACCAGTTCATTCTGTATAGCTCAGTTTGGACAAAGATAGGCCCCAGATTCGAACTTCTGAACTGTTCTATCTCATTTTTACCACAACATTGGATTTGTTAGATAGGGGGAATCACAGTGGAATAGATGTAATTACTGTACTTAACAGCTGCCAATCCACTTGTTGTTCAGCCAGTATCATAGCATGCTTTGCAGTTGTTTGGAGGAAGCACATACATAATTTAAAATTATGGTCTACTGGGATTTGCTTCTCTGTTTGCTCAGTGAATTAAGTGTTCCCATTTGCAACCACTAACTGAATACTGTTGAAAAATATGCACACAAGTTAACTACTACTTTCTTTTTTTCCTGTAGGAATCTTGGCATCCACCGTCGTCCTGATTCTGTCACAACGATCACTTTTCAAGTTTTACATGATCAGCTGTGCTTTTCTGCTAGCTGCAACGTCAGTGTTGGTGAACTATTACGCTTTTTTGCACATAAACTTCCACAGTGCCTATTATACAACACCTTTTGGAGTTCAGCTCCTTCCTCATAAAGGACCTTCCTTATGGATGGCACTCTCTGTCCTTCAGCTTGCCTTTGGGATTGGTTATGTCGCTCTCTTAAATATTGACTCCATATATTCTCAGCTAATCATCCTGGATTTTTTGCTTCCCATCATAGGCTTGATCTTTGATTTACCTTTACACTTCAGGCAGATTTTAGTCTTTGCATCAGGTTCCATTTTGACACTACACAGCCTGGCTATTTTATTTACTAAAATGAAATGGGTCTACTATTCCACAAGGTATGTCTATCTTCTCATAAGGCATATGTATCGCATTTATGGATTACAGTTGTTGCTGGAAGACACGTGGAAAAGGATTCGTTTTCCAGACGTGCTGCGGATTTTTTGGTTATCGAGACTCGCAATCCAAGCTGCCGTGCTGCTTTACGTCATCAAGGCAACCGAAACGGATCCAAGCATGAAATTCTACATGTTTACTTGGGACAATTTCTGGGAATTACTTTGCAGCCTTATCATCAGTGGATGCGATTCCACATTAACCGTGTTAGGCATGAGTGCTGTAATTTCATCTGTGGCTCATTATCTGGGGCTGGGTATTTTGGCCTTTATTGGCTCCACAGATGAGGACGATAGGAGGCTTGGTTTTGTGGCACCAGTCTTATTTTTTATTTTAGCCCTCCAGACTGGCTTAAGTGGGCTAAAGCCGGAGGAGAGACTTGTCCGCTTAAGTCGAAACATGTGCCTTTTGCTGACGGCAGTGCTGCATTTTATCCACGGGATGACTGACCCTGTGCTCATGTCCCTGAGTGCCTCCCACGTCTCCTCGCTTCGCAGACACTTCCCCGTGCTTTTTGTCTCCGCTTGCCTCTTCCTCCTTCCGATTTTGCTTAGCTATATCCTCTGGCATCACTATGCACTAAATACGTGGCTGTTTGCCGTGACAGCCTTCTGTGTGGAGCTCTGCCTCAAGATTATTGTTTCTATCACTGTGTACGTACTGTTCATGATCGACGGCTACTATAATGTTTTATGGGAGAAGCTGGATGATTATGTCTACTATGTTAGATCGACAGGCAATATCATTGAATTTGTATTTGGAGTAATAATGTTTGGCAACGGTGCTTACACCATGGTGTTTGAATCAGGAAGCAAAATCCGGGCTTGTATGATGTGTCTGCATGCCTACTTCAACATTTACCTGCAAGCGAAGAATGGCTGGAAAACGTTCATAAATCGCAGGACGGCTGTAAAGAAAATCAACTCCCTCCCGGAGGTCAAAGGGGAGCGATTGCGGGACATAGACGACGTGTGTGCAATCTGTTACCACGAGTTTACGACGTCCGCCCGCATTACGCCGTGCAACCATTACTTCCATGCGCTTTGCCTTCGGAAATGGCTCTACATCCAGGAGACCTGCCCAATGTGCCATCAGAAAGTTGACATTGATGAGAAGGAGAACCCCAATCTCTCCAACAACAATGCCTTTGTTGCCCCCGATGAAAATCCCGCCCAGGGAGAAGCAGCTGCTGCAGAAGACGAACTAAATAACGACAGTACGGAAAGCGAGGAAGAGGCAGAGAGCTCAACTCAGCCTAGTGCCACAGTACCCGAGCAGCCCTCTCAGTACCAGCCCTGACCTTGCGCTCAAATTAAAACGGAAAATCCTGAACCCCATGGGTGTTCGTGGCGTTCAGCATTGGAATAAAAGCTTCCCTTCATCCACTAAGCACAAGAACGCGATGTGCAAAATGTTGAATCTGTGAATGAGTTGTCAGTTTACTGTGATGTGCTACTGTAAATATGGCTGGTATTAATGCTGGTCTCTTTTGCGACCACTTTGAAACTTTATGTACATTATTGTACATGGAATAAAATGTTTTCACCTATTTTTTTAAGAAGTCGAACAAAACACTCCTTAATTAATATAAAATTATGGTGTGTATGTTATATCCAAAGCCTCTCACATCTTGATAGTTTAAAAGCCAGTGGCTTTTAAGATAAAAGTGGAATGCCATAAAGAGGGACGTTTCAATCCCTCTTCATTTCAGTCCTGGACAAAAGTTAAAAAAATACTGTTTGAAATCATAACACAACATCATTCCCAGCTTGATAGCTAAAAATGAAAAGTTTAGGTTTCCATAAAAGATACCATTCCTTCTAGTATTTTGTTTATAGAGGAAAACAAACTTGGGGAATGAAGGAAATACATTTATTTATGGAACACTATGATAATTTTTTTGAGCAGAAATCTGGTTACTGTGCGGTTACACAGTAAAATTATCTGAATTACAGGGAAAGAAAAACATTACTAAAATGCCAGAAAATTCACAATAAAAGGGAGGATTTCCACACACACATTTTTAACCAAACCATTCTGTATGGCAAACATACTTTTAAATAATGATTTCAGAATTAGGGAATTAGATTATTTAAGATTATTTTATTTTATGAACAGAATTAACTGGATTTACATATCTGGAAAGAAAATTTTAATAGTGTTGTTATACATAATATTGGCCAGTTCTAATGGCTCCTCTTCACGAACTGCTGCTAGTATTTCCAGTATCTGGCTACAATGAAACAAACAAAATGTTGTAGAAAAAAATTAATTTACAGAAATTCATGACAACTTTTGATAAAACTGCATGAAAGATATGTAAGCCATATTTGTGATTTTTTTTAAAAAAAATATTAGTTTTGGAGTCTCATTAAATGACACGCTAAATGATGATATAACAAAACAGCAATGAATCTAGCCTAACTTGTATGCTTCTCAGTCTCCTTATGATTGGGAAAGGGCTGGAAGCTTTGGTTATGACCAAAGCCTGGAATGGTGGGTAATAGTGTTTCATTTAAAAGCATGTTTTATTGAGCCAATTGAAGCAATTAAGGTTAGCCTGAATTTGTGGGGTTGATACAACAGCAGTTTAATACTTCTTAGTGCCCTACTGTTGGCCGCTGTTAAAATGCAAAATAGATGATATCTAGATAATGCTCCAACAAAATAAATCTCATGTTATGTTGCACTGAAGAAATGGAAGCTCAGGAAATACATTTTACAAAGTGTTATATTCTCTCCTTACGACCTAGATAGAGTGAGACGCCAGCAGGTCCCATTTAAAGCAGTGTAATTTGAGCCTGTCATGACTAACTTATTAGATCAGCTTCAAGGGGACTTAATCATGACTAATCTCTGCTGGACTGAAACTCTGACAGGAACAGCAAACAGTACTTACATTATATGGCAAAGTTCATTTCTCTCCTTCAGGCAGTGTCCTACTTCCCATTTCTTTTTGGTTGGAAATGTGGTTTTTACAAATTCTGAGCCCGCGTGGGTGTTTTTCACTCCACACCAGGGAGCATCTAAGCAGAGAATGTTTTTTTAAAAAAAAAAGTGGTAGTTTTATAACGAATTTCAGAAACTTGAACTTACATTCCTGCTTGTCTCAGTTCCTCCTTATACACAGAGTATATATCTTTCACATGGAAATTTGGAAATAAATTAAAAATTCAGCTAAATATGACCAAACGACTAATGACAAATAAAAAAAAGGCATTTTCCCTCTCTATCAATGAATTAGCTATCTGGATAATCGTGTTAAGCTAACTTGGCATTTGGCCTATGGTTTAGACCAGGGCTCAGGAATTCTGGGAGTTGAAGTCCACGAGTCATAAAAGAGCCAAGGTTGCCTACCCCTGGTTTAGACGTACCATCTCAAGATTACAAGCCAAATATATCTCCGATGTAAAAGAGTTTTGAAAATGATAAATTAGTGAAAGCAAAGTAACTTACCTGTCTCTATCATTAACCTTTCACTGGGAATTGACTTCACCGTGTCTAGGTTGGCTTCAGTTTTCAGAGAACTGGAAATAACGTTAGATGTTTGTTAGATGAAAATGTATATCACTTATTATTGTTGGGGAGCTCATAACAAAGAAACTGCTCCCAAAATTCAATGAATAATTTTTGTTTCTGGAACCAGTATTGAGCATATTCCAATATTGTGTTTCTAATCCCATTCCATTTACATTAGACTGATTTTTCTCCCCCCAATTAAAAACTGGGAGAGCAACAATGCCTGAAATTTAAGCCTGTCCACTCAAAAGTTGAATTCTGCTGCATCTCTGGTTACACAGAAGTTCTAAGGCCTCTAAAGCTAAATGTCACATAGTTTTATATCCTGTTCACCCTTTTTCATTTTCTGTATTTTGTAAGGGGTGTGTGTGTGCGATAGAAGCGGGTAACTTTGTGTTCAAAATTATTTCCAGTCTTTTAGTGAACCAGAGGACCTCCCAAGCTATTGACTGGATACCTTATCTGAGAATTACAGATAAAGGGTTCTTCTAAGCCAGGGATAGGCAACCCTGGCTCTCTTTTATGACTCGTGGACTTCAACTCCCAGAATTCCTGAGCCAGCATGGCTCAGCTTGGAAACCTCTCCCTTTCCCCTCAGCATGGCTGGCTCAGGAATTCTGGGAGTTGAAGTCCACGAGTCATAAAAGAGCCAAGGTTGCCTACCCCTGTTCTAAGCTAAGACTAGTGTGTGTGATTGTAATTTAGAATGTTGCATATTTTTGACTATTATTTATTTTTATTCTTAGTTATGAGTGTAACATAATTGCAAGTTCTTTAGAAAGTTAATCAAACAAGGATAGGCTATTAGCATCTTTTGTTCTCATTCCCGCTTCAAAAATAAGGTCTTTGTATTTTTCATATCCCTGGCAAAACAAACAACATCTGGGTGGGCAACTACGGCAACTTTACTACCTATAGACTTCAACTCCCAGAATTCCTGAGCCAGTTGGCTCAGGAATTCTGGGAGTTGAAATCCACAGATCGTAAAGTTGCCATAGTTGCCCATCTCTGTACTACGTGGTTAATGATCTGCCTTTTTATTTTTTTAAAAGTCACACACAATACCTACCAAACTAAAAATCAATGCTTGAGGGAAGAGTTAATGTTTAAAATAACTTACCAACCATTAACCCCTATATAAAGATCAAGATCTATTAGAGCTGCTGCTTCTTCTTTGGTGCCATCAAAAGAGTGAACCTATAAAAATAATTAGAAGCATATATCATAAGACTGAAGGTAAATGTTTGTTAATATGGGGTAATCCTCAACTTATCACCATGACTGAGTCTGCTCATCACAATCACTGTGAAAGTCATAAATCGGGTCACCCCTGTAACCAATCTGATCTTAATGACCTTTTTTGTGATAGCTTTTGAGTAAATCAATTGTTTGCTATGGGCTGATTTTGTGTGGAAATGCCGATTGTGTGACATAGGGTTGCTGCAAAGGGTCATAAATGTGGGCCGGTTGCTGATCACCTGAAATGCAGTCATGTGACTGCGCGGGGGAGGGGGAAGGGATAGCTATCGGAACTTCAGATCGTAAGTATCCCTGAGGAAGTCTGTCATAACTTTGAATGTCATTAAGGGAGTGGTCATAAGTTGAGGATTACCTATACTCAGTCCTCGTTTCTCTCAGTTCCCTCTAATTATTTTTGTTGCTCTTTCTGGATGTCATTTGGCAGCTGTGCATGCATGAAAAATGTGAGAAAATTTAGCAATTCCACCTAGGAAGATGACGTGGCTACTCTCTTTTTCATAGCTGTGTCATTTTTTGTGCTACCCTACCAGGTGCAGGTACCCCAGTCTCTCTTAGTTCAACTTCTAAACATGGCTAGCAAGGCCTAAGGTTTGCCCAATGCATGGAAGGACACTGCCAAATTTAAAATAAAAAGATTCAGATCACAGAAATCCCAGTTCATAACAAACAAAGAAAAATGTGGCTCTATGCTAGATCCAAACTTTTATTTCTTTCACTAGTTTTTTAGAAGACAAGGTTTGGGTAAAGAATTGCAAACACAAAGAGAAATATTTAACTTATTTGTAATACAAATATAGCAATAGACTTTAAATCACAAAAAAGGGTAATGTTGCACCTACCACTCCTCCCATACACCTCTCTCTATTTCGTCTCATAATATCTGTGCAAAAAAAAAAAAGAGTTTGATTTTAGAATCTCAGGAACTTTTGTTCCCTCAAAAGTACACATTTATTCTTCTAATTTTCTAACCAAACTCACCTATGAATTCTGGGTGCGAATTCCTACAGTGCAAAAACATTGGCAATTTGGTTTGCTCAGCTAGATCAAACTGTTTTTCAAAATACCTGAAAGAAAATAAAAATGACAAGCGATGAATCCCTAAAAAAAATTTCAGAAACAAAATAATAAATTGACTTCAAATCATTTTAGAGAACCGGTGGTTGGGAATCACGTCTGTTACCCTCGTCCAGACAGGAGTTCTAATAGTCCTGACCCAAATGCACAAGAAAACAGCCAAATTACCTCTGAACCGTGAAAGGGTCTTAGCGGTGCCACGATTTAATGCAAGTTTCCAAAATACCATAGATGTGCAGAAAAACTCTCACTTTCCAGATCTGTTTTGTGATCTTCCATCAAAGAGGCAAATATTTTAAACATGCCATATTTGTAGACCAAGACATTCTACATCTTGCTAACCTGCTACAGGTAGTCCTCAGTTTACAACTTTTCATTTAGCCATCAAAGTTATAACAGAACTGAAAAAAGTGACAATCAGTTCTTGCAAACTTACAAGCTTCACAGGTGATGGAAGCCGGTTGGGAAGATTGCAAATGGGGATTATGTGACTCCAGGATGCTGTGACCATTGCAGGTTGCCAGGCGCCCAAGTTTTGATCATGTGACTGATTTACTTAACAACTGCAGGGTTTTACTTAACAACCGTGGCAAAAAGATCAATGAAAATTCTGGTCAGAATTGTGGTTGTTAAGTCAAAAACTACCTGTAATGTGAGGACAAGCGGGATGGTGAGCATCCCTTTATTGTGACCACTGTGGCGTCTGATCAACTTTTGCCAAATGCTAAGCAAAAAATCCAGCAAGACAAATCGTAGGTTCCTCACATTAAAGTTTAGTACAGGTGTCCCCAATCCTAGTCTGTGGACCGGCACCGTTCCACGGTATGCCAGCAACCAGTCCGTGCAAACAAGCGAAGCCCCATCCGTGGGATGCAGGCAGCACACGAAACCACGTCCCTTCTGGTCCATGGAAAAACTTCACGGAACCAGCACCTGGTGCCCAAAAGGTGGGGGGGGGGGCTGGTTTAGTAAAAATGTTCTTTCGCGTTACTTTTTTTGTTCCTAAAAACTATTTTTTTCATTTCATTTCATTTTTCTCAGCTGACTAATTCCTGAGCAAAGATACCCTCTTCACTAGTAGTATCTTGCCCTGTAGCAACAGCTTCCAGGAAGGGAGAGAGAAAAACACACACACACACACACACACACAAAATGGCAATCTGCACTACAATGTGGACTTTCCCCCTTTGGGGAGAAGTGCAGATTGCCCTTTGGGCTTTCACATCCCACACAGAGATGCAAGTTGAGGCCTGGTTCCCTCATCCTAGCCGTCTAATTTTACATCCATTTCTGTCTTATCCGAATGAGAAACAGAAGATCCAAAATGAAAATTTTTGGCAGCTTTTACAAGCACTAACACATGCTGTTGAGACATTTCTTACTTGAGCTGGGTGTCTTTGGGGCAGAATTCTAATCTGTCAAAGTCTGTAAAGGGGAAAACAGACAGTGAAGAAGTTTTCAAAAGACTGCCAGGAACAAATAACACACTTAAGCCGGGGAGTTAATACCTACCCAAGCCACACTCCCCAACTGCGACAACTTTCCCTTTGTTCTTCTCAGCTAAATCTTGCAACTCCTCTAAGTACCGGTCAGGATTGCCCTGATCGAATTCTCCACAGCGCGTGGGATGGCAGCCGACAGTACTGTAAAACATTTCTGAAATCAGACCACATGAAAGTGTTGATATTATAAGTGATGCAGACTCTACTAAAACATAAAGGGAAAACGATCACCTGCTCTGTCTGTATATGCAGATATTCCTCAACTTATGACCACAATTTGTTGCTAAATGAGACATTTATTAAGTGTGTTTTGCCCCATTTTACAACTTTTCTTGCCACAGTTGTTAAGTGAGTCACTGCAGTTATTAAGTTAGTAATATGGTTGTAATAATAACAGCAACAATAATAATAAAGTTGGAAGGGACCTTGGAGGTCATCTAGTCCAACCCCCTGCTCAGGCAGGAAACCCTATACCATTTCAGACAAATGGCTGTCCAGTCTCTTCTTAAAAACCTCCAGTGTTGGAGCATTCACCGCTTCTGGAGGCAGGTTGTTCCACTGGTTAATTGTTCTAACTGTCAGGAAGTTTCTCCTTAGTTCTAGGTTGCTTCTCTCTTTAGTTAGTTTCCACCCGTTGCTTCTTGTCCTGCCTTCAGGCGCCTTGGAAAATAGCTTGATTTCCTCTTCTTTGTGGCAGCCCCTGAGATATTGGAACACTGCTATCATGTCCCCCCTCGTCCTTCTCTTCATTAAACTAGACATACCCAATTCCATCAACCATTCCTCGTATGTTTTAGCCGCCAGTCCCCTAATCATCTTTGTTGCTCTTCTCTGTACTCTTTCTAGAGTTTCAACATCTTTTTTACATCGTGATGACCAAAACTGGATGCAGTATTCCAAGTGTGGCCTTACCAAGGCATTGTTAATACTTCACGTGATCTAGATTCTATCCCTCTGTTAATGCAGCCCAGCACTGTGTTGACTTTGGTAATTGTAATGGTTGTGAAGTGAATCTGGCTTCCGTGTTAAGTTTGCTTGTGAAAAAGTCGCAAAAGGGGATCACGTGATTCCTGGATATTGCAACCGTCATAAATACATGCCAGTTGCCAAGTGTCCGAATTTTAATCATGGGGATGCTGCATTGGTTGCAAGTGTGAAAACCAGTCACAAGTCACTTTTTTTCAGTGTCATTTTAACTTTGAACGGTCACTAAACGAATGGTTGTAGGTCGAGGGCTACCTGTAGTTTCCATCTCCGGACTCTCCTCCTATGTCAAGCACTTGTTTTCATTATGTGACCACTGATCCTCCACATACTGTTTTCCCAGTCATGGTAAGATAAGCAACTTCCCTAATTTACAGGTGCACGAAAAGTTTCACTTTTCTTTTAAGCAAATACAGTGTGGGATAATTCAAGCATCCCACTTAAAGGTGATGGTACATGATGCAAGAAATTACCATTTGTTTGGGCCAGCTGCCAGGCGCCTTTACTGTCTTGCAAACTTCCACCTGTGATGATGAGCTGAAATGAAGAAAAACATGTAAATGCTAATTTCCCAACACCCAAGTTTAATATGCTTTGGGGGGCATAAATTGAGTCAATAGCAAGTCAGCAAGGAAAAACTGACAGTTCAGACAATAAAAAGGAACACATTGAAAAACATTTAATGCCACAGTTACCTTTTGAACCCCAATTTTGACTGCTCTGTCTATTACATCCAAGAAATCATCTGCAAATATATACACACACACATATATAAATATATTAAATTTAAAATCCATTTTTAAAAAGCACAGTTATGATCAAACTGTTCACAATTTCTATTTCCTGGGGGGCTTTTTGTGTTCAAAGCTTCATAACAGTAAACATTGCAATCATCTTATGCACAAAAGTAGTATTCCACACTTTTCAACTCTTTGACAACAACAATATTGCTGTGTACAAATGGAGCACTGATATATTTTCCAACAGAACTTCAGCTTTCTTCAGATTGATGGGATCAGAGCTAGCAATGACTGATGAGGATTTAGAACAATATTTGAAATAACAAGCAACTCCAGCTTCCTCCATTGACTTATTGGGAGCCCCCTGAGAAGACCACAAATTGTGATCATATGACACTGGGGTGTTGCAACTGTTGTAAATGCAGATAGTCCTCGACTTACAACAGTTTGTTTAGTGACCATTTGAAATTACAGTGAGACTAAAAATTAACTTATGACCATTTTTCACACTTATGACAGTTGTAGTATCCCCAGGATCATGTGATTTACATTCAGATGCTTGACAACTGACTCACATTTATGACAGCTGCAGTGTCCCAGAGTCATGTCCTCCCCTTCTGACAAGCAAAATCAATGGGGAAGCCAGATTCACTTAACAACCATGTTACTAAACCGAGTTAAATGGGGCAAAACTCACTTAACAAATTTAACAAGATAAATTTTGGGCTTAATTGTGATCGTAAGATGAGAACTACCTGTACACATGCTGGTTGCCAAACACCAGATTTTGATAATGTGACTGTGGGGATACTGCATTGGTTCTAAATGTGATGGCTGATCATAAGGCACTTTTTTCAGGGCATCATAACTTCAAACAGTTGTTAAACAAATGGCCGTAAATTAAGAATTGCCGGTATTTATCTTCCCATGCTCAAA